ATGGTTCCTTCGTATTCACTGGAATTCAAGTTGATCAACAGGCCAATGGCGACATCGTTTTGAGTCAAAAAGAATACATACAAGATATTCCTAGCATCTCAGTTTCCAAAGACCGAAGAAATCAACCAACATCACCTATCACTAAAGAAGAACTTCAGAGCTTTCGTGGACTTATTGGAAGTCTACAGTTCGCTGCCACCAACACCAGACCAGACATTTCATGCAAACTCAGTCTTTTACAAGCCAAAGTTTCCAATGCCACTGTTTCTGATTTGCTACAAGGTAATCGCATTCTCGAAGAAGCCAAAAAGCACAGCACCACAAGTATCCGAATCCAATCAATTCCAGTTCCAGATGTTCACTTCCTTTCGTTTTCCGATGCTGCTTTCGCTACAAGAGAGAAGGCCAACTCCCAAAAAGGATGTCTAATTCTGGCAACCACCAAGCAAATCAATGAGGTGCAACCAGCCAAGGTTAGTCCCATAACATGGTTCTCCAAGAAAATCGCACGAGTAGTTGCCAGTACTCTTGCATCTGAGACCTATGCGTTGTCAGGAGCCTTGGATTTACTCAGCTGGACACGTATCCATTGGGCATGGTTAGTGGACCCCTCACTGAATTGGCAAAACCCTGAAGAAACATTAGCATCCCTTCCGAAAGCCTTCGCAGTTGTTGATTGTAAGTCATTGTACGACCTTTTGCAGAAAACATCGATTCCCCAATGCAGTGAGTACAGAACCTTACTGGAAGCTTTGGTGATCCGTGATAGACTGCGTGAAGGTGTCACAGTGATGCGCTGACCAAAGACATGGACGCTACCACTCTGCGTAACTTCCTGATGAGAGGTCGTTGTATTTTGTATGATGTGGAAGATATACTAAAACAACGTTCAGACAAGAAGCTGCGAAATGAATGGTACCAGCGTTCAACCGCCGATGATGCCCACTGCAATCTATGCCACTGCCATGAGCTCCAAAAATAAAGATAGTTAATAGTTTTTTTAGGAGTGTGATTTCAGCCTGCCGTTTACCATTCCATTCTCCCTGGGTGCCATTATCCATAATGCATGAGAGATCACGGAGTGACCAGGGCGTATCCATTCCTGCAGCCGCTGGGCGCAAAGCTGAGGGCTAAGGTGGCTGGGAGCCCCTTCGACCGCGGACGGTCGCGTTGCAGCCATTGGATAAAACAAAGCGCGAGGACGTGCTTCTCTTGGGGCTCAGGTGGGCCATAGGATTCATTTTGGAGGAGGACAAAGGGCTACCAGTGTGCAATACTCACAATATATATATATATAACTATTATACAGTTACTTAGATCCATGAACCCAGAAAAACATAGGATCATAATATTAACATACACCCAAATGAAAAACCCATTTTCAAATACAAGTTCCAACCTATCAAATATATTTCACAACAATATACATAGGAAAAAGGGCGAAAGCCTCAAGGTGCGAAGCACCAAAAAGTTTTTTCCGGGGTCGGCGGCAGGGGCGGCAGCCCTTAATATAATATAATGTCTCTTAGTACACATTGTATTGTGTATATATATATATCCCATCTACTCAGCGCAACCATATCCTCCAGACAAATCTTCCAGTAAGTTTCTTCTCTTTGTGTTGATTCAGCTCTGAATTGCTGTAAGATTCTCGTCTGACAGCAGACCTCCCATCTCAGCTTCAATCCACTTTCCGACATGGCTGGGCGCTGGAGCCAGAAATAGCTGGTACTGTATATGCTGGTATAAATGTCATAGAAACTCTCAACCATGCCCAAAATAGGGTAATTACCCCATAACTCAATGAGTTATCATAATGTTCCTCATTTGAATTGAATTGTATATTTGGAATGTACCGCATTTCCAGACACAAAACATATATTAGTTGTTGGTTATATATCCAAATAGAATTGAATCCCCATAAATGTTTGGCTTCCCTCCATTTCTGTTGATTAAATCCCCAAACATAGGAACAAAAACACGCGGAAGAAACACCCTTTCGATGGCGTCGGGCGACATTTCTCAGAAACATGGCAGGCATGGCTTGGTTGGCGTGGGCGGCAGATTGTCTAGCACGGCCTGGTGTGGCTTGAACTGTCTCGAAGTTGGGAACGCCCTACATTCGACCCTGGTTTCTGCTTCTCAAATATTGGGGAAAAAACATACACCCATAGAGTTAGTATAGTTTACTCCTGGATGTTTCTTTTTTGGTTTCCTCCATGTTACAATGGCCTTTTAAATCCGCCAAAAACATCCGGGGCCCGCCTGGTGCAGACTCATAGTGACCTGGGGCAGCTGGAGGCTGCATTCCTGCACTGCGTTCTCGAAGCCCAGGAAGCCTCACGGACAGCGCTTGGTTTGGGAATAAATCGATGACTTTACACTGGAAAGATATGGAAAGTCTCCTAAATTTGGGGTACCCCGACTTTTCCGATTTTCAGCAGGTTCTTACCCCAACCTTTGATGAATAGAATAAGCATGGTATATGAATTTTGGAAGGCTCTAGTTGGACCTCCATCAAGTGCCAAAAAAATCAAAAAAAGCAGCTAGGGGAACTGAGAGAACGGCTGTTCTTGAGAATCGAAGAGTAGATTCTCTCGACAGTGTCTCCAGCTGGGAACGTGATTCCAACGCAAGCCTCGGCCAGAGAGGAGCAATCCGTGGTCCAGAATGCGAATTGATCTTCAGATATGGGGATGGGTCAAAACCCTGGTACCTAGTGAACCCCAAAATAGCTGGTAAATGGATGTTCATCCCACTAAAAATGTATCTATAGGTATTGACCCATACCCATATCTTAAGATACCTTAATATACCTTACATGGCTTATTGCTTCATGTTCCAAACATCCCTTAGCTCCAGATTCACTTTCTGCAACGCTGCCTGTCCATCCGTAAGCCCGCGACATACAACGACACCACTCGAGGATCGATCGTGTTTCGGCCAGCACCCGGGGGCTGCATTCCAGACACAAATTGGCAATCCTCCAAATGATGTGGCAGCTGTATGACGCCAAAATAAGATCAAACAAGCCGTGAGTATCCATTGATGAGACAATATGGGTATGGGTGGAACTGATTGACCCACAAAATCGATGGTGCAGTCAATCAGATACCGCTATCCATTGATTACGAAAATCAAACTACAATTCCAATCCATTGATACAACTAATTATAAAATATTACGTAGGTAAATATATAATTATATATTATATTATGTTATATTATATTATATATAATTATATATTATATATAATTATATACACATATTTAAAAATGGTAGTATTACTAAACATCATCCATTTTGTGGGTCCATTGGAACCCCGGTAGCCCGGTTCAAGGGTCGCGTCCTGGATGATGATCTTGTCCAAATCGCCACCCCGTTCGTACATGAACATTCCTGGCCATGGTGCCATGGTGCCATGGTCAGACTCAAGGGGATCAAAATGGTCAAAAGCGGTCAGACTCAAGGGGATCAAAGAGATGAAAGATGCCCATGGTCATAGCTTCCCGACAGATTAAAACCGGCCAATTCCAGAAGCTATGCCAAGATATGCCAAGCAACTCTCCATCAAGAACTTCAATAGCGCCAAGGGCTGCTGCGTGCCGTAGAGATCCTCAAAGCCCAAAACTTGGTACTTTGGAAATCCCATCGTTTTTGTTGTTGCCGATAGTTATAGATGGAAGTTGATGTTTGATAGTTGTGCTTATTTCACTGATAAAAATTGATGTGTTATGTTTATTGACAATTGTCTAGTTTTGCATTGGACTTGTTGTTTGTTCTGTTGGTTTGTGCTGCTTGTTATGTTCACTTCCCCACACCTTGGCGGATAGTCAGCAAACCACAGTCCAAAAGCGCGGCGCCAAGTCTCAATCTTGGGCATCGAGAGGTCATCGATGAAAATTCGCAGCTTCTTGCCCTGGCAATTTCCATTGATTTCTTGGATATTCTGGCGATGTTTTCTAATCATAATGTGTGTAAAACAATAATTTTTATTATCCCCCAGTCATCACCATCAATAGGTGGTATAAACCATTCCCAAATGGGTAGTTTATGGCATTGTTTTAACCACATTAGAGGTTTATGCCACGATTTTTTGAGTACATGGTGAAGCCAGTGGTGTCGTCTGCAATTTTGGAGGGTTGATACCCATGGTGAGTCAAGATGCTGTGAAGCCAGAGAAGCCACCCTGCCTGATCGGGGCCGAAGATACGCCCAGTGCGTTTGGAGATGTTGTCCTAGCAAGATTTCAAGTCACGCTTCAAGTCGATCGAAATGGTATATCAATACATACATACATGCATTGAATCAAATTACATTACATGACGTGACATTGCCTTATCTTCCTTTGCCTTGCATTGCATTACGCTACATTGCATTACATTTCACTACATACATATATATATATATACATACATACATACATATATATATATATACTATGTATGGAGATTTGCATGGATATCCTGCTCAGATAGTGTCAAAAACGAAGTAATCAACAGACATGTCATCAGAACAACTCTGAAACCTTCGCCAATGTCAGCGTCCTCCATGGTCCTCTGGAAATCAAGGCTGCCTCACAGGCAAGACTTTCAATGGAATGATAAAGGCAATGTGGCGTCACAGTTCCACAGTTCCCACCTCAAAACCTTCGAAGATATTAAGGCTATGACTTGTTCTGGAGGAGTAGTTGATGTTCAGAATGACAGACAAGTCTGACGGAAAGCTCTCCAAGGTATTCTGCATTGTAACCTGACACGCTGGCCAAAGCTGGCAGCGTGTTGTCTGATCGCACAAAGAATGTTTGCAACTTTAATTGGGTTGGTCCAAAAATTGGCTACAGAAAATCCCCCAAATTGCCATTTTAGTGGGGAAAACATAGGAACAATAAACTATTGGATTTTAGGGGACGCCATTTTTGGACAAAGCCACTTTTGCCGATGCAACCAAGCCACTGATTTTGCAGTTCCACTTTCTCCGATGAAGAGCACAGGCTGACTCATGCTCAAGAACTGCTTGACCTTTTTTCGCCGGCACCAGCATTCATGGAGAATGATGGAAAATGAGGACTCAAAAATCGGGATTTTATCGTCAAATATGATGTTCAAATATGTTCCATGGATCGGTTTAAGGGAAGATGCATAGGAAACCCGCCAATTTTTACCCCAAATCCAGGGTGATCCGTAGCCAATTTTCCCAGCCCAGTAGCCAGGTAGGAGTAGCGTGTCGTGTCGATGGTCGGCACAAAGATCTTGTTGAAGTCAAGGCCAGGTGGAGGAGCAAATGGCTGGCAGACGGCAAATGGCAGACATTGATCAAACATGGAACTCAGGAGCTACTCACTAGAGACTTGGGTTCCTCCAAAAATCGGGTTCCAAAAATTCCATGGTTACTCTTCATGTTCCCATGTTTATATATATATATATATGTATATATATGTTCCGTATTCAACTTGCCATTTTTGGGGTATCTCCCACCTTTGGACAAGCGCACCTCCATGAGATCCTCCCAGGAGGTCCAACGGCCTTGCTCCAAATCAAAGTAGGAATCCTCAGACGCCGTGGATCCCTCAAACCGATGAGTGGTTGATTAGTTCCACACATCATCATAATCCGCCGACCCCGGCCGACGCAAGGGGGAGCGCGTAAGGGAAGAAGATGGAAGAAAAGGACTTGCAGCAGCCAGCAGGCATGTTTGCCTCAGAGGCAGCAGCAGCAGCAGCAGCATTGAGCAAGAGGAACAGCAACAGAAATAGCAACAGCAACAGCAGCAGCAACAACAACAACAACAACAAGAACAACAACAACAACAACAAGAACAACAACAAGAACAACAACAATAACAACAACAACAACACCAACACCAACACCAACAACAACAACAACAACAACACAACAACAAAAACAACAACAACAACAACAACAAAAACAAAAACAACAACAAAAACAACAACAACAACCACAACCACAACAACAACAACAACAACAACAACAACAACAACAACAACAACTGCAACTGTTTTGCTGTGGCGAGGGGTCCGTTCTGGAAGCCTGATGCTTGCAGCTTGGAGCCACCAAACGTGAATAAGTTTGAGCACGGTTTCGGCACGCAATTAGGTGCTGTTTTGCTGTGGCGGAGGGTCCGTTCTAGAGGCTTCATGCTTGCAGCTTGGAGCCACCAAACAACAACTGCAGGAGGCAGACAAAAGACATGTTTTCTTGGAATTCAGAAGGGACGTTGGGGAGTTTTTGTGGATAAGCTTGCACAACGTTTCGGCACGCAATTAGGTGCTGTTTTGCTGTGGCGAAGGGTCCGTTCTGGAGGCCTGATGCTTGCAGCTTGGAGCCACCAAACAACAGCTGCAGGAGGTAGAAAAGAGAAACTTGTCTAGGAATTGCGAAGGGTCGTGAGGGAATTTTTGCGGGTAAGTTTAAGCCAGCACTATGGCGAAGAGTCCGTTCTGGAGGCCTGATGTGCTTGCAGCTTGGAGCCACCAAACAACAGCTGCAGGAGGCAGAAAAAAGAGACATTTTTTCTAGGAATTCAGAAGGGACGTTAGGGAGTTTTTCTGGATAAGTTTGAACACGGTTTCGGCACGCAATTAGGTGCTGTTTTGCTGTGGCGAGGGGTCCGTTCTGGAAGCCTGATGCTTGCAGCTTGGAGCCACCAGACGTGAATAAGTTTGAACACGGTTTCGGTACGCAATTAGGTGCTGTTTTGCTGTGGCGAAGGATCCGTTCTGGAGGCTTGATGCTTGCAGCTTGGCGCCACCAAACAACAGGAGGCAGAAAAAAGACATTTTGTCTAGGAATTCAGAAGGGACGTTAAGGATATTTTGTCGATAAGTTTGAAAATTCGGTGCTGCTTTGCTGTGGTGAAGTGTCCGTTCTGGAGGCCTGATGCTTGCAGCTTAGAGCCACCAAATCCGCCGACCCCGGCTGCGCAAGGGGGAGCGCGCCAGGGAATAAGACAAGAATTTGCCACCGCCAGCTACTACTACTACTGCTACTACTACTACCACCACCACCACCACGACTACTACTACTACTACTCCTCCTCCTGCTGCTGCTGCTGAGCAGCCACCAGCAGCAGCAGCATGGCAGACCAGCAGAAGTCAAATCCGCCGACCCCGGCCGACGGCAAGGGGGAGCGCGTCAGGGCAGAGAGGTTGGGGACAACAAGAAATACAACAACGGTTCTTGGGAAGCTTTCCAAAGTAGCTGAACAGCAACAGCAGCAAGCAGCAGGAGGAGGAGGAGGAGGAGATCTAGTGAGATTTCTAGTAGGATTTCAGAAGGGACGTTTCGGCCTCCGGGGAACCGGTTATTGCGACTGATTTTGCGTCATTTTCGGCACGAAATTTGGTGGTGTTTTGCTGTTTCGGCTGTGTTTCGAAAAAGGTGTCTGGCTGCTGGTTTCTGGCTTTATTAGAGGCAGCAGCAGCAGTCAAAATTGGAGATCAAAATTGGACAAAAGTAACTTTCTAGTGGGATTTCAGAAGGGACGTTTCGGCCTCCGGGGAACCGGTTATTGCGACTGATTTTGCGTCATTTTCGGCACGAAATTAGGTGGTGTTTTGCTGTTTCGGCTGTGTTTCGAAAAAGGTGTCTGGCTGCTGGTTTCTGGCTTTATTAGAGGCAGCAGCAGCAGTCAAAATTGGAGATCAAAATTGGACAAAATTGGCTTCCTAGTAGGATTTCAGAAGGGACGTTTCGGCCTCCGGGGAACCGGTTATTGCGACTGATTTTGCGTCATTTTCGGCACGAAATTTGGTGGTGTTTTGCTGTTTCGGCTGTGTTTCGAACAAGGTGTCTGGCTGCTGGTTTCTGGCTTTATTAGAGGCGGCAGCAGCAGTCAAAATTGGAGATCAAAATTGGACAAAATTGGCTTTCTAGTAGGGTTTCAGAAGGGACGTTTCGGCCCCCGGGGAACCGGTTATTGCAACTGATTTTGCGTCATTTTCGGCACGAAATTAGGTGGTGTTTTGCTGTTTCGGCTGTGTTTCGAAAAAGGTGTCTGGCTGCTGGTTTCTGGCTTTATTAGAGGCAGCAGCAGTCAAAATTGGAGATCAAAATTGGACAAAATTGGCTTTCTAGTAGGATTTCAGAAGGGACGTTTCGGCCTCCGGGGAACCGGTTATTGCGACTGATATTGCGTCGTTTTCGGCACGAAATTAGGTGGTGTTTTGCTGTTTCGGCTGTGTTTCGAAAAAGGTGTCTGGCTGCTGGTTTCTGGCTTTATTAGAGGCAGCAGCAGCAGTCAAAATTGGAGATCAAAATTGGACAAAATTGGCTTTCTAGTAGGGTTTCAGAAGGGACGTTTCGGCGTCCGGGGAACCGGTTATTGCGACTGATTTTGCGTCATTTTCGGCACGAAATTAGGTGGTGTTTTGCTGTTTCGGCTGTGTTTCGAAAAAGGTGTCTGGCTGCTGGTTTCTGGCTTTATTAGAGGCAGCAGCAGCAGCAGTCAAAAATTGGAGATCAAAATTGGACAAAATTGGCTTTCTAGTAGGGTTTCAGAAGGGACGTTTCGGCCTCCGGGGAACCGGTTATTGCGACTGATTTTGTGTCATTTTCGGCACGAAATTAGGTGGTGTTTTGCTGTTTCGGCTGTGTTTCGAAAAAGGTGTCTGGCTGCTGGTTTCTAGCTTTAGAGGCAGCAGCAGCAGTCAAAATTGGATATCAAAATTGGACAAAATTGGCTTTCTAGTAGGGTTTCAGAAGGGACGTTTCGGCCTCCGGGGAACCGGTTATTGCGACTGATTTTGCGTCATTTTCGGCACGAAATTAGGTGGTCTGGTGTTTTGCTGTTTCGGCTGTGTTTCGAAAAAGGTGTCTGGCTGCTGGTTTCTGGCTTTATTAGAGGCAGCAGCAGCAATCAAAATTGGAGATCAAAATTGGACAAAATTGGCTTTCTAGTAGGGTTTCAGAAGGGACGTTTCGGCCCCCGGGGAACCGGTTATTGCGACTGATTTTGCGTCATTTTCGGCTCGAAAGTAGGTGGTGTTTTGCTGTTTCGGCTGTGTTTCGAAAAAGGGGTCTGGCTGCTGGTTTCTGGCTTTATTAGAGGCAGCAGC